TATTTGACATTCAGAAAGGGGGCACGAAAAAGTCGAGCTACACAACCCTACCTGACCTTAGTGGACTTTTACCTAACTACACATGACCATTTCCAAAGCCATGCAGGTGCCAGTCAAGAAAGGGCACCTTAAACCCTTAGAACCTTGCCCACTGCCGGATCCTCTCCCACCTAAACACAACCCTGCAAAGTACTGTGCTTTTCACTAGCAACATGGTTATGATACCGATTAGTGCTTCTGATTGCGTCGTGAGATTCAAGATCTCATTGACAACAAGGTGATCGCACCACCCCAGAAACCAAATGTAACCACAAACCCACTCCCAGTCCACAATCAAGTCCCTCTACCTCAAAATCTTAACCTGATCCATACACTGGCCACCCCTTATGACCGCAGCGTATATATTACCTCTTCCCACCTACCAAGAGCGACGTTGTTCATTCCCGAAGGCACAGATCTGTGCATGATGGACATGTCCACACCTCAACCTAAGCCTGTGGTGATGACACTTGCAATAGAGGGGAGGTCGATCTCGAAGGAGGGTACTTGTCTGCTATCTGAGTGTCTTGGGGACTTATCTGAAGAGGTGTATGATCCGAGTTGTTATATTGTACCAACTAATCACATCAAGCTTGAAGTGGTGCTACCAATCTCGGTAGACATCAATGTGGTCAGAGAGGACCGCCCGAGCCAAGGGTCGGATGATTTGGCAAACCTCGAAGAGGACTTAGACAACCTACAGTTCTTTGATGAGCATGATCAGAGAGATGTACAGATTGGGTGGTTCGACTTGAATGGATCAAATGATAATACTGGATGGCTGATTGATGAGCTAGACAAAGAAGAAGAAAATGAGATCAGGCCAGAGCGAAAGAAACCAGAGGTAGCTCAAGTAGCTGGAAAGGCTGATGAAAAGGAAAAATTGCCAGAGGGTATATGTGTGGGAAACCTAACCTAGGAAGTGAGTATTGTGAACATTATAGATACTGAACAGGAAGCTGCGTTGATGCAGTTTGAGAGAGAAAGAGTTGAAGAAGACTTGCAAACCGCAACTGCATATCGCCCTGAGGAGGATATTTGTACTGTGAAGATGCTTCGGATGGAGCTAGACAATTGTTTGTCAGCAGCTGAGGGCGAGTGGTGGGATGACAATGACCTGCATTTGGCCCATACTGACGAAGACTGGGGTGATTGTGCCCCAGATAATACCTGGTATGCTGAGGAGATAGACTATCTGACAAGAAGTGGATGGTATTTTAAGCCGCCGCACTTATATCAAGCAGAGTCATCTAGAAAGGATCAGGAGGTCGAGAAATCGAAAGAAAAGCAGCTAGAAGAGGAGTTGGTATTAAAACAGCTCAAGAAAATCCAAGTTGATATTTCTATTTGGGGTCTTCTTATGGCCTCATAGGTGCACCGACAGGCAGTGTTGTTGGCAATGGAAAAGGCTAAATTGTCCATTGATACTACGTCCGAGCAACTTGTGGGCTTGGTCTTTCCGGGTGGTGCCAAACCAATGCTCACTTTCGCTGATAAAGAGTTGCCACCGGAGTACTCGGCCCACAATAAACCGTTGTACATTTTTGTGGAATGTAGAGAGAAGTGGGTGTCAGTGGTGTTGGTAGACACTGGTTTTGCCATTAATGTTTGTCCTTCCCGTACTACTTACGCGGTTGGCCTCAAATCGGCAGAGTTTATTCCTACAGCCTAGGTGATACGGGCGTATAACAATACAAGTAGAGAGGTCATGGGCACAGTAAAAGTGTGAGTTTAAGTGGGCCCGTCAAAGCAGGAGGTTGAGTTTCACGTCCTGGATGTACCGGCTACCTTAAACCTACTATTGGGGAGGCCTTGGTTACATCACATGAAGGCTGTCTCCTCCACTCTCCATCAGATGTTGAAGTATCTCTATGAGAGAGGAGTGGCCACTATTTTTGGAAATGCATCTATCCATCCACCTCCAGAGGTGACTATGTCGGTACTAGAGATCAACCATGGGGATGAAGATGTGTTCCTTTCTGGATTCACTCTGGCTGAGGCTCGAGTTGTGTAGACCATACTGGCCGCGGACGAAGGCATGTATGTTAGTGTCCAGTCCATCTACTTTATGAACAAACTGCGGCACATCCCGGGAATGGTACTTGGAAAGATTGGTCGGAAAGGTGTTACGACATCAGCTGAGGTGCCACACAACCTGCACGCCTTTGGATTGGGCTATGTGCCCACCAAAGAGGACTGAATTAGAAAAAGGGAAAGAAGTGAGGGGCAAAGCTGAAGCCAAGAGAGCTGGGAAGCAGTATGAACTCATCCACAGGCCAATCCGGGGCACGCTCAATGGCCGTTTCGTTCGAGAGGGAGAAGATTTTTCATTTTGTGGCTTTCCCGAGCCTTGGGTCAATTCCTCGAATAAACGTGTCCCCGGGTTCGAGATCTTTTTTGACCATCAGCTAAAGGACAGTGATGAGGGTAGTGATGAGGAAAAGGCTGAGCCAAACAGCAAAGCTAACCAAAGCACATAAGAGGACTCAGACGACAACGAGCCTGGAGTAGGGGCAGCACTGGCTAATCTCCTAGTAGATCCCACGACTGACCTAGAGAACTTGGGGGATAACTTTACTGTCTCCATGATTGGGAAAGAACCGGGGGTCCACCCAACCGTTAGAATTCTGGATGCATCAAGGGCACCGTGTCTTCCTTGGTAGTTGGAGAAAGGCTTTCTTTCCAGTTCTAAATCGGGGTGATGAGCCAAAAACTGATTCCACTGAGTCTGTGGAGTCGGAATCAAATTCAAGTCAGTTTGTGGAGTTTGAGTCTGACATTTCTGGGGGTGGTAACACAGATGCCAAAGTCCTGTCGAGGTCCTCTTTTTCTTTTAATTTTGAGTCTGTTGTAACTGAGAGGCCGGAACTTTTGAATGAGAACGCTGTTGATTCTGAGTACTTCTCTGTGCCCCTTACTTATTACATTGACCAAGATTTTCAGAATTTTAGTGAAAACAAAAAGGAATAAATTCTTTAGGCTTTGAACTTGATTAATCGAGAGGAGGAGATGTATGTTAAACCCTGTGCTGATGAAATCATTGCTATTAATGTGGGTACTGAGAAGGATCCACACTTGGTCCAGATCGGGTCCACATTGTCTTCAGAGGAATGCAAGCGTTTAATCTCTTTATTAAAAGATTTCAAAGATGTTTTTGCATGGTCCTACAAAGACATGCCTGGAATCGATCCTGAGATTGTACAGCACTGGATCCCTCTTGACCTTGAGGCTTGACCAGTTAAGCAGAAGCTGAGCAGAATTCGCCCGGATTGAGCACTAAAAATCAAGGAAGAGGTCACCGAGCAGATCAAGGCAGATTTCTTGTTAGTATCTGAGTACCCGACTTGGTTGGCCAACATCGTCCCAGGGCCGAAGAAGGATGGCAGAATCCGAGTTTGTGTTGATTTTCGAGATTTGAACAGAGCTAGTCCGAAGGTTAACTTTCCTCTGTCGCATATTGATGAGTTGGTAGACTTCACTGCAGTCATTCATTGCTATCCTTTATGGATGGGTTTTTCAGGTACAACCAGATTCTGATGGCACTCGTGGATAGAGAAAAGACAACTTTCACCACTCTGTGGGGTACGTACTGCTACCGGGTCATGCTGTTTGGATTGAAAAATGCTGGGGCCACCTATCAGAGGGCTGTGACCACCATTTTGCATGATATGATCCACAAAGAGGTTGAGGTGTACGTAGACGACATGATCATCAAGTCCAAAGAGCAAGAGGGCCACTATACCACGCTGGAGAAATTCTTTCAACGGATCAGGGAATACAGATTGAGATTGAACCTATAGAAGTGCACCTTTGGGGTGACAGTAGGGAAAATGTTGAGATTTCTGATCACACAGAGGGGTATTGAGGTAGATCCTTCCAAAATCAAGGCCATCTCATAAATGCCACCACCAAGGATTGAAAAGGAGGTGCGTGGCTTTCTGGGTAAAGTGCAATTCATAAGACGGTTTATTTCTAAATTAACCTTGGCTTGTGAACCACTATTTGGTCTCCTGAAGAAAGGAAAGAAATTCTGATGGGATGATCGATGCCAGTTTTCCTTTGAACAGATTAAACAGTACCTCTAGAATCCACCTGTGTTGTTGTCGCCAGAGCCGGGGAACCCTTTGATTCTGTACCTGTCTGTAACAAATATGACCATGGGGTGCATGCTCACTTAGGAATCTGAAGATAGAGTGGAGAAGGTCATCTACTACTTGAGTAAGAAGATACAAGATTGTGAGACCCGCTATACTCCTTTGGAGAAAGCTTGCCTAGCCTTGGTATGGGCTACCAGGAAGTTGAGGTATTACTTGTTAGCTCACTCTGTAATTCTGGTGTCGAGATTAGAATTACAGAGTGAGCTAACAAGTAATCCCATCAAATATCTCTTTGAGAAACCAGCACTTACAGGTAGGCTAGCCCGTTGGTTGCTTCTTCTCTCCAAATTTTATCTCAAATATGTCACCCGCAAGTCAGTCAAGGGAAGAGCTGTGGCGGAATTTCTGGCGGACCACCCAGTAGAAGAAGATGAGGCAGTAGAATACTTGTTCCCAAATGAAGACATTCTGCAAGTCAAAGAGGAAACTTGGACGATTTACTTTGACAGAGCGTCTAATCAATACGATTATAGGATAGGTGTGTTGCTGATAGCACCCAATGATTCCCATATACCCCTAGCCTTCAAACTTCGGTTCAAAGTGTCCAACAACGAAGCAGAGTATGAAACGTGTATTGCTGGTTTAGAAGCTGCCCTAGAACTAGGTGTAATAAGGTTGGACGTCATTGGGGACTCAAAGTTGGTTGTTTCTTAAGCGAACGGAGATTGGCAAGTCAAAGAAGAGAAGATGAAGGTTTACCATCAGACCCTGGATATGCTAATTCCGAGGTTTGAAAAACTAACATTTACACACCTGCTGAGGGAGAACAACCGGTTCGCTAATGCTTTAGCAACACTATCTTCTATGGTAGACATCCCACTTGGAGTCCAGATGCGTCCCATCATCATCAAACAGAAATACGCACTGGCCTATGAGACCATTGCCGCGATAGAAGAAGTTCAAGATAAAATCCTTTGGTATTACGATATTTGGAACTTCCTGGAAAAGGAAACATACCCACCAGAGGAAAATTCCAAAGACAAATGGGGTATACTTCGTCTAGCCATCCAGTTCATCATTTGCAGGGGCAAACTGTACAAAAGAGGCCATCCGGGAATGCACAAGCTGTGTGTTGAAGAAGAGGAATCAAAGTGCCTTATGGAGGCCATCCACAGAGGAGAGTGCGGGGCGCATATGAATGGTGTGATGCTAGCCCGGAAGATCCTTAGACAAGGCTATTACTGGTCAACTATGGAGGCGGATTGTATTGGTTTTGTACGACGATGCCACAAATGTCAAATCCATGCCAATCGCATGAATATCCCGCCATCAAAGCTGTACAACATGACTTCGCCATGGCTTTTCTTAGTCTGGGGAATTGATGTTATTGGTGCAGTCTCGCCGAAAGGGTCAAATGGACATGAGTATATCCTGGTGGCGATTGACTATTTTACGAAATGGGTGGAAGCTCAATCATATGATGTGTTGAAGGCAGCGCACGTGGCCAAGTTCATCAGAAACAACATCATCTACCAGTGCGGAGTTCCGACTGAGATCATATCAGATAATGGCTCACACTTCAAAAAAGTAGTGGATTTGCTTGAGAAATACAATGTGGCTTTTCATAAATCATTGACATACAGACCACAGACGAATGGCGCTGTTGAAGCCGCTAACAAGAGCATCAAGAACATCTTGTAGAAGTTTGTGGAAACATATAGGGATTAGCTAGATAAACTGCCATTTGTACTCTGGGGCTACAGAACGTCAATTCGAACATCCACTGGGGTGACTCCCTATTCATTAGTATATAGGATGGAAGCTGTTTTGCCAATTGAAATTTAAATGCCATCGTTACGGATTATGGCAGAGTGTCAGATAGTAGAGGCGGATTGGCAACAGAGTAGGTTTGAGGAATTAATGATGTTTGATGAAAGAAGACTGAGGGCGTTGTATCATGTTCAGGGCTACCAGCGCAGAATTGCCAGGGCTTTTAATAAGAAAGTTAAGTCCCGAAATCTCAAGGAAGGAGATATGGTGCTGAAAGATAACTGGGCTCCTATCCATGACCCTAGGGGCAAGTTCAGACCTAATTGGACTGATCCTTACATCATCAAATCTATCTGGTTAGGAGGGGCGAGGGCCTGGAGTTTTCATAGCCGATCAACATGGACAAGTTGAAGAAATATTATCCCTGAGAGGCTCGCTAGGCCAACAACCCAGAAAGGGCGACCTAGGAAAAAGTTAGAGCATGAAAAATTAGAAATAAAGAAAAAATGAGCTCGCAAGGTTGAAAACCCTAAAGGGCGACTTTGGCAAAAGTTAGAGCATAAAAGGAGAGAGTTAATACTCGAGTGAACCGGAACCGAACTACGTAAGGCCTGATTCCCATCTTTGGGATACGTAGGCAACTTCATCCTGAAGTTCATCAGTAACCATCTCCAACTCAACTATCTTGTCCATACGCCTGATCAGGTCGTCTTTGTCTATCAACTTGGTTGTGATTTTCATTTTGAGCAGAAGAGCCGGTTACAATGCAGAGCAGTAGTGGTATGCAATCAAGGACAGTTATGATCTTCTGATTTGGGGTTGTATATCATGAGGATCAATTTTGTGTGTGTCAGGTGGTGATCATTTTCAAAAATGGTTTTGAAAAGTTTTAATAAACGTTGATTTTTCTCAAATTTTACCTTTTTAAAACTTAGACCATTTTGGAACCAAAACAAAAATTTTCAGTTCTCACAACTTTAATTCCATTGATTTCAACATAAAGTACATGCTCCAACTCTCTGATAGAAATTGAAGTTGCCTTTACATTATAAAACTTGAAAAGAAAGGTCAAAGCAATAAACTAGGGGCATATGAGTCAAGTGTTCCTGAACTCTCTACTTGTGCTTGCAGAAGCTTCTGTAGCCAAAGTTAGCCCTACTTGTGCCTCATCCTCAAGCCAAGCCAAGCACTCACCAGAAAGGGCATAATTGAAACTAGGGGAATGGGCCAGAAGCTCTCTTATCCTCCAGGTAGCAAGGTACTGAGTTAAGTGTGAAGCACAAATTGACACTGAAGCCGGGTATTCTACCCCCTCCTCCGGGCAGGTCTGATCATGTTCAAATTGGCATTTGAACTGAAAAGGGAAGTAGAACACGCAGTGCATGAGGCCAATCAACTTAATACCCGGTTGTCGAGATATGCTGTAGCTCATCTCAGTCAGGTTAAGCCAAGGGCAGCGCCAAGCTATGTTAGCTATAGATCTGCTGCACATCTGGTTGCACCGCCATCCCTCGTTGGGAAAGTTCACTAGTCGCTGGTGGAAGAAGTAAGCTCAAGCTTAGTACTCTAGATAGGGGTCCACCACTTTTAGCTTATTAATGAGCCATACCTGGGAAGGAATGAAAAATAAGAGAGATTAAAGAATAGAGAGATGTACGTTAAGAGAAAAATAAAGAAAGGGCTTTGAGAGAAAAATAGAGTGTGCGTGTTGAGTGATATGAGAAACATATATAAGACAAGGTGGGAAACAATACTTGGAGCAATAGTGGACTCCCCATAAACCTGGTGGTCTCTCGCCAATGAAAGGCATCTAAACCCATCAAGGTCTCGGCCACTACCAAACTAATGCAACTCTTACCCTCTTTTAAGCGTTGCTCCGCCTCAATCAACTTGATGTTGGCTCCGCTGCAACTAGGGGCAAGAAGGTAGTGCGCAAGCATACATAAACAAAGGGCATGTTGACAAAGGCCTCGCTAGAGGAGGTCACCTCTGTCTTCGAAGTCAGAAAATCAATGAACCAGGCCGGGTATATCCAGTTCCCCGTCATGAGCCAAAGATCGAGCTTCGTGCAAAGTAAGCCCACACATCTGTCCCAAAGCTAGGGCATGGCTAAAACGAGGCTGAGGCATGATCTCCTCATCGCACTGAGATTCCATCAATGCCTAAAATTCTTCAAGGGTTGGACACATTTCTTGTGCTCTGAAGCGAAAGACATGTGTAATTGGGTCCCAACATCGAACCACGACATGGAGGAACGGAAAACAAAGTGGAGTACGACTGAACAAAAAAAGCGCGTTTACACCGAAACCTCAGAAATTTACCTTTTCCATGCCGTCTAAAGTGGCTATCCAATCCGTGAGCTTCTCGGCAAGAAATGTCTCAATTTGTGGAAGAAACAACATCTAAAATGAGGTTCTGGAGAAGAAATCACAAAAGAAGACCTTTTCTAAAAGATAGAGCTGTGAGTAGAGGCCAGCTGCCGTCCACCTTTAGTAGCAGACCATCCACTTGTAGGCCTAACAATTTTGGCAGTCTGGCCTTGTCTTGATCTTTGTGTTGTACGACCTTGTTTTGAGTCTTTTGGTTTTAGCGAGTGTCCATGGCTCTGTTTAGTTTGTTTTTGGTTTTATATTTTGATTGTTGGTCAACTCATTACCCGATTAAGAACATTGTTTCAATCAAGCATTCTCGTTTCAAACTCAATTCCATTTTCATTTTATATGGTGCTCATGATGCAAAAACAAAAACTTTTTTTCATAAAACTGTGAGGTTTTACTCTGATCATGGTTTTTACAAAAGGGAGTACAAGTTTTCAAAAGCAGAAGTAAAACTTATCTGAAGCTATACATGTGGTGAGCTACAAAATAAAAGAAACTAAGCAAAAAGTACAAAAATTGGTGCCAGTCATCTCAAGCTTGAGAGGCCCACTTCGTCCTCTTTCTCAGAGGGGACTCAGGAGCGCTGTCTCCATCAGCACTGCTATCACAATCAGACTCTAAGCCAGAGCTGGTATCATCATCTCTGCTCCCTGCCTCAGAGCCAGCCTCGGCATCGTCTCCACTCCCTAACCCCGAGCCAGCATCATCTCCTCCGCTCTTAGACTCAGAGCATCGGCTCACTTCCTTCTTAGAGTCATTGGCCTCGTGATCATCCCCGCTGAATACGGGCTCGAACTCGCTTCTTTTGCTCCGAGCACCCCTGTCTCTGCCTCGACCTCGGCGCTCATCTTTGCCATGTGCTAGGGTCTGTCTCTCTTTTCTCCCTGGTGTTGGGGGAGATGATGCCGGTGCTAGTGCTGCCGCTACCATCGGTGCCCTCAGTATAGATGGAGTCTGGAAAAATAGGTGTCGACATATCAGATACAGTGTGTGTATTGTTGGAGGGTGTAGTATACAGAAACCAGATATAGTAGGAGTACAACATGCCAATGCAGTGTATCAGTGCAGTGTAAGGTGGTACGAATACTATAGTCCGAGTACCAGTGTATCGATGAGAATATGATAGTGCGGTGCTCAACAGTGTGAGTTAGCAGTGAAATGCATGCCGAAATAGGGAAAAATATTTGAATACCATGGAGACCAAGCAGTGTCTCTCTCCTATACACCATGCTAATTAGGGAAGCAACCAACTCGAGGAGGCCCTCTGTGTACTCTGGAGGTGCCTTTAAGTGCATTTGAATGGCCGGTATCTAGAATAATCAATATCTGCAAAGGAAAGTGCGGGTTTTAAGCCGTAAAGTGTGGTCTATACCTGAGGTGCGCCTCGAGCTCTGACATACCCGCGCCCTGCTTTTGCCGGCTCGATCGGAATCTGGTAGGCTGTCTCGATCGGTCGCCAGCATGTAAGTACAGTGGGAATCGCCGGCCAACTAGTAACCTGCATAACAGGACGGGTCCTTCCAATACTGGCCTGGGCCTCTCGAGCCTCACCTGCCAAGGGAGCACTTGCTGCCTTGCCCGCGTGAACTCTGGTCAGGGGCGGCATGAGATAAGTCTGGATGAAAGTCGCATAGTCGGCCTCTGCTCTGAAGAAATCGGTATCTAGTCCCACCATGAACTGAATAATCGCCTCAATTGGGAGGCTATCTGCTATCCTCATGGATGCTGGGGGTGGCATGGGAATAACCGAATCAGGCAAGCCTATGGTCTGGCGTACAAATTGCTCACTCAAGAATCAGGCTCGGCAAGATGGGCCTTCTAGTAAGATCCGATATCGGGAGGTGCCCTAAGCCTCGGTATACTGATCTTTAACCCCAGCTGGCATCGTCGTCCAGGGCTGCCAGATGATTTGTAAGTAGAGGATGTACAAGTTGCTATGTTACTGCCAGTTGTTTGGATGAATTAGAACAGTATTGAGAAGAAAACAAAAATGACTATGAATTTCAGATTACCTCTCGGGCAACTATTATATCGAAGTATTAGCAGTAGAAGGCGAATGTCGTATAGTCGTGGCTTTGGCACCGACACCGATCGTCATATTGGCGCGAGTAAGGCACGACGGGGGGAATCTCATCCACTGGCTCGAGAGCAAGAGTCGGGAAATAAGCATAAACCCACAACTGCAAGAAAAGGTCAGCGATATTGTCAACAATGCATGAACAGATACATAAAGTGCACAGCAGAAAACACAATGCATGAATAGATATTGAACATATATAAAGCAGAAAATGTAAAGAAGGAAGCATAAGTGATAGAATTGAAAGGTGTAGTGCATACCTCCCAGTCCCTCCAATAGCCTCTTACCCACTCTTCTTTCATGCGAGAAGTGGAACTCATATAGCCATAGAGGGTGGCGAGGCCAGCTCCACCCCAGTCGTAAAATTGGACTCGGGACAGGGTCACGAGGGCACTCAGTAAGTACAAACCTATGGTGTTTCACCTATTTGCAAACATGGTGGTACCGAGGAGAAAATCAAGAAGCCCTGGGCGTAC